TAATAGATACCCATATTCCTATTACCAATTATAGGTCCGCGTGGCCCGCATCTTTAACACTTATGGGCCTAGAATGCACCCAAATGATGGCCGTGTAGTAAGTAACTTCATCATTCAGGCGCTCACCAAGTCACCCATTACCATATATGGCGATGGGGAGCACACCCGGTCGTTCCAATACGTGGAGGTATGTAGGGTTTAGGGTTTGTTCAGTTGCTTGCACGCACTACTGCGAGTACTTGTTTAGCTTATGAGTATGTAGGGTTTAGGGTTGAGACACTTGACACTCTCCTACCCCTTATACCCACACTCGTAACACTCTCCTACCCCTTAAAATCCACACTCATACCACTCTCCCACCCCTTATAACCCACACTCATACCACTCTCCCACCCCTTATAACCCACACTCATACCACTCTCCCACCCCTTATAACCCACACTCATACCACTCTCCCACCCCTTATAACCCACACTCTTGTAACACTCTACCAATCCTACCACCCACACCTATGCTCCCAACCCCTACAGGACCTCGTGGACGGTCTCATCGCTCTCATGAACAGTGACTACGACCAACCCGTCAATCTGGGCAATCCAGACGAGTACTCCATCAAACACTTTGCAGAGACCATTGTGGAGATTGTGGGCAACAAAGTCCCAATCACTCACCTGGCTGCACCGGTGGACGACCCACAGCGCAGGAAACCAGACATCGGGGTGGCGAGAAGGGTGTGTGTGTGTGTGTGTGTGTGGTGTAGTAGTGTGTGTGTGTGTGTGTGGTGTAGTAGAGTGTGTGTGTCTGTGTACGCGCCTGTGTTCGTGCATCTGACTCTATATATATATTTATATTAACTGTTTATATGTGAAAATGTATATCTGACTCTATATATATCTATTTATATTAACTTTTTACATGTGTATATGTATTGTTTGCGAGTGGCGATTGTGGGCAGCGGTGTCTCCATCATACACCAGGCCGTGGTTTGTGTTCCTGTTGCACTCTACTAGTATGATTATATGTGTTCGTTGTAGTATTTGTATTTAAGTGCATGCATATATATATATGTATTGTATGTATGTCTGTATGTATGTATATTATATATATATATATATATATATATATATATATATATATATATATATATATATATATATATATATATATATATATATATATATATACTATATATATATATATATATATATACTATATA